TTTTCTATATAAGTAAACGCTGCCGTTATAAGGACCGAAAACCCTAGTTCGCTCCTCTCTTATTTATATATTTTCATTTCTTATCAGCTTATTACCTCGCCAAAACCCTAGCTTCCTTTCATTGTTGCCGCCAAGTTCAACCAGTGAGCCCCATTCTCTTTCAACTGCTATTATCCTTTTCTCAATATCTTCTTTGAGTCTCCACTGATATCATTTTTATTTTATTCTTTAAGGAATTGATTAGGTTTTTGATAAGCTGCGAAAACGATGTCGGACGACGAGAGGGAGGAGAAGGAGTTGGATCTAACCTCATCAGAGGTTGTTACCAAATACAAGAGCGCTGCTGAGATCGTTAACAGTTAATCTCATCTATCCCTTTTTCTAATTTTTAGCTTATTGGAAATGGGCTTTGAGTTTAATATTTGTTTATTTGTTTGGGTGTTTTTGTGTTGTTCTTTTGGCGCTATATTTGAAAATTTGCAGAGGCGTTGCAGTTAGCTGTAAAAGAATGCAAGCCGAAAGCTAAGATTGTTGATATTTGTGAAAAGGGTGATGCATTTATCAGAGAGTAAGCACTTTGGTTTATGCGGGTTTAGTGTTTTTATAGATTTGACCGATAATGAAATTAGTAATATATGATTTATGTAATGTAAAGTCAAACAGGCAACATGTACAAGAATGCTAAGAAGAAGATTGAGAGGGGTGTTGCTTTCCCTACTTGCCTCTCAGTGAACAACACTGTCTGTCATTTTTCTCCGCTTGCCAGTGACACCTCGGAGTTGGAAGAAGGAGATATGGTGAAGATGTAAACTTCATATATACCGTTTCCTTTTTTTAATGTTTTTGCTGGGATTTCATAGTTTGAGTGGCGTGTAAAATGTTCTTTTTCCTGGATGTAGTGATATGGGTTGCCACATTGATGGGTTTATTGCTGTAGTTGCACACACTCATGTTGTTAAGGATGGGCCAGTCACTGGCAGGCATGCCGATGTTATTGCTGCTGCAAATACTGCTGCCGAAGCTGCCTTGAGATTGGTCAGGCCAGGAAAGAAGGTAACTTTTTTGTATATCAATGCTATGATGTTCAAAGGCTATGTTATCTTTTGTGTTCTTTGAATAATTCTTATGCTATTTTGCTTTTTCTATTTCAGAAGTTTTGAGCCAAGCTTTTGTTTTTCAAGTGGAATTTGTGGTTGCTTTTTGAAAGCGTAGTGACTTTGCTTTCACTTTTGACTAGCTTGACCCCTAAATGATGAACTTAATTTTATCAGCTATGGATCTACATCCAAATGAAGCTTTTTGTCATAGTTACTCTGATAGGGGAATTGATATCTCAACTCTGTTTCTGCAACAACTTTTCTTTTGGTTACTCTATGTTTTTGTTTTTTATTTGAAGTGATGGTGATGTAGGATAAAATGAGAAGGCTAGGCAACTTTGCCGAGGTGATTAATTTCTTGTGGATCTCCTCTTTTCCCTGTTGCCAATATTATGTTTGGCTGAGCTAGGCGGCCTTAGGGTGATGCCATTTTTATGGTTTACACCGATTGCATAAGTGTCCAACATTTTTTCTAAAATTACCATATGTGGGTGTTACCCTCATGATTGTTTTTATCAAACTACCTTAAAGTTGGTCTTACCCTTGTGTAAGATGTAGAGAGACTTTTGTTGGAGAGGCAACTTTGCCGAGGTGATCAATGTCTTGCGATCTCCTCTTTTCCCTGTTGCCAATATTTTATTTGGTCATCTAGGCTGTGTTAGGGTGATACATCTCTTTTTTGGATCATTCCAATTGCCTAAGTAGGCTAACATGTTCTTTAAAACTACCATAAATGTTTTTTTATTAGTGTTAAAAAGTTCTTGTTTTTATACACAAATTGGTTTTAATTACTGAGGCTGGCAGCAGCTTGCTGATGTAAACCTCCGTTTCCCCCCCCCCATTTGCTTTTCCCCCTATTATTGTGTTTGGGGAGGTGTGGTTCAAGTTTCACATGATTTCTACATGATGATGATAATCATGGGCTATGGATTTAATTCCAATGTTGCTTCTTTTTGTCATAGTTACACTGATAGAGTATCATTTATTATTTGTGCCACACTATACAATCCAAGTCAACCACCCAAACTGCCTGCTGCAGTTGAAGGTCAACTCATACGAGTTCAATCTTTTTCTTTTTTGTACTTTTCAAATATATATATGTCATAGTTTTAAAAACCATGGACGAAATTCCAATTGGGCTTGTCATGTTTACTGTGATAAGGGAAAATATTTCTTAGATTTCTGCTTTTTATGGATTCTTTTTCTGATGAATTCAGTTCTACTTCCCTTTGTAATATATATTTTTTAAAATCTGCATTATCACTTATATAATTTATATTCTTCATTGTACTTGATTTCTTTTAATTATGGTTTTAATGGCAGAATAAAGATGTAACAGATGCAATTCAGAAGGTAGCTGCAGCTTATGACTGCAAAATTGTTGAAGGAGTTCTTAGTCATCAATTGAAGCAGTTTGTGATAGATGGAAACAAAGTCGTATTAAGTGTCTCCAATCCAGATACAAGAGTTGATGATGCAGAATTTGAGGAAAATGAAGTTTATGCTGTAGATATAGTTGCAAGCACTGGCGAAGGCAAGGTATTTTGTCTTTTTTGTCTTTTAGCTTTTCGATGCTTGTGTGATGTTACTTATCCTTGAGATTTCCATGTGTTTACATGGCAGCCGAAGCTGTTGGATGAGAAGCAGACAACTATTTATAAGAGAGCTGTTGACAAGAATTATCATTTAAAGATGAAAACCTCTAGATTTATTTTCAGTGAGATAAATCAGAAATTTCCCGTCCTGCCATTCACTGCTCGGTCTGTTATTGTTTTGCTTTTGTTATGAATGTGCATTGGCTTTATTTCTGATGTTTAACCAGTTTATGTGGATTTTCTTGAAACAGGGCTCTGGAAGAGAAAAGAGCTCGATTAGGTTTAGTTGAATGTGTGAATCATGATCTCTTGCAGCCATATCCTGTTCTTCATGAGAAGCCTGGTATGATTTTCTAGTGAATATCTTGTTTAATAATGGGAGGACCGAGGATATTGTACCTTGTTAATGCCACCACAAGTCACAATGATCTTAATACGGTCACCATGTTTAATTGTGCAGGTGATCATGTTGCTCATATCAAGTTCACCGTGTTGCTAATGCCCAACGGATCAGATCAGATAACATCCCATACTCTGCAGGAGCTGCAACCAACCAAGACGATAGATGATCCTGAAATCAAGGCATGGTTAGCTTTGGGTACAAAGACCAAGAAAAAAGGTGGCGGGAAGAAAAAGAAAGGTGCGATGAATAATACATGGTTTATGAATGATCGGTCAATCAAAAACTCCTTTGATGTGTTGGAATCAAGTATTTACCAAGGTTCATATGTGTTACTACAGGTAAGAAGGGTGATAGAGCCGATGAATCGACTGAGACAAGCTGGAGCTGAGCCTATGGATGCAACAAATGGAGGATCATGATCTTAAGAAAATGTAGTAATGTAATATTCGCCTCCGTTTTCAATTTTGGTACAATGTTCACTTGTACGATGATGTGGTTGGTTATTGAGTTAAAATTTACCATAATATAATTATGGCATATTGATTCCAATGGGGTTTGCACGTCTTTTCCAACGTGATTTGAGCCAAGTTAGCTATTTGATATAATGGTAAATTAACTCTTGCTGTTTAAGTTCTTATTGATAGCGGTATCATGTTCAAATCCTTTCAACTATATTCTATAAAAGGTAATTTCACCTCTAATAAGGAGTAGATAGTAAATAAAAATAAAGAAGTTTTCCAGGAATATAAGGAAATAAATAGCTGTACCTGTAACACGTGGCTGTAGGACCTACTCTGGTACGCCCCGCCCAATCCATAAAGCCCTAATAATTTGTTTTTCTTTTGAACTAAAGCCCTAGATAAAATCAATAAAACCATAAAATCATATAATAAACACCTTCCTCGCTCCTCGCTCATTGTTTTACGGGATGAGGCGATTTTTTTTTCTGCCCTCTTAGTTTTGAAGGTTTCGTTCTGATTAATTTGAACCGACTCGGATCGCACACCTAATTTTGGTGGGTGAGTCTCCCGGTGAGAATTTTTTACATACACAAAGACTAGAACCAACCCTCGGTTGGATGAGGCGATCTTTAATCCCTAAATTTGAAAATTCTTTTAAATCTAACCTATAAACTTTGTTTGGGTTTGTATATAAACTTGGAAACTTTCTTCTTTTTAATCCTTTTACTGATTCAACACAGATTTTAACATGTGGTTCACTCTTAGTGTGTTACATCATTAAAATAAATAAAAATTTAAATTCGATGAATTTCCTCTTAAGCAAAGAAATTATGGTTAAAAGAATGAGATGAGCTTTGACCCATCCTGCTTTTATAGAAATGGATTTCTTTTTTAGCATTCAGGTCGAAACAAGACCAATGAGTTTCTAAAATAAAATTTATAGAATCGAGACTGAATTTAGGTAAAAATTTGTTGATCGATACATTTATTAAAATGTCTCTTTTTAAAATAATTTAATTATACTTGAGGTCCAACTTTTGGGGGAAAAAAATCAATGTGACGCTTGAATATAGTTTACATCCCATGTAACTCTTAAATTTCAGAGAAAAAAATTAATCTAACCTTTTAACCCATAAAAAGCAATGTTACAAAAAAAACTCAAAAAAAGTTACTATCTTTTATAAAATTTAAACCTTTTAAAAATTAGAACTGTCAAATAAGATAATAAGTGTAGTTTAATTAATCAAAGTGATAAAAAAAAACAAATATGAAGATCAAGTTCCGAAAACTTGCCAAATTCCAAGACTAGTGTGAAACCAAAAAAATAAAATAAAATCAACTTACCGAATTCAGTTTCTGAATGTTACTTTACCCCGCTATAAAAAAAGTATCTTAAAGTACCTGAAACACTTTATAATACAAATACCCGTTTTCATTTTTTTTATACAACTGTAACACATTTTTTAAAATGCTTAATGAACTTCAAACTCGTCGAGGCCATAGTATCAATAATTTAATTATTCCCAACCTTTTTTCCCCTAGAAAATTCTCATTTCCAAGTCGCAAAAGACATCCCATGAACTCAATGCCCTGACCCTTGCCAAGAGAAGCCACTACAGAATCAGCAAAGCTATTTACTGAGTTCAAACTGTTGCTCCATGTGGCAAGCAAATGAGGCCAAATTTTACGATATGAAAGAAACCAATAAATAACTCACCATCGCAGGCAGCCATAGCAGAAAATTGTAAAAGAAAACAAAAAACCACCAAACCCACTTCATGAAAAGCAAAAGCATGAATCTCACCTGAAAAAAAAGAGGTATAAAATTAGATGCAGACATTTCATTTGTCTAAACTTACTAGCAACTGAAGTGAAGTCTCTAGTTATACTTCAAAGGTTTCGGCTTATACAAGTTGGTTCTTGAAATTGGTATTTTTTTTTACTCAAATTGGCACCTGAACTTGGAAAAAAAGTTTTCAAATTGGTACATGGTCCAGACGCGGCACTTTAATAATCAATCAAGTTGTGACACATGGCACTGAATGACATCTGCATTTTGACCATGTCATCAACCTAATTGGAGAAAAGTTGTCAACTTCAGGTGTCAATTTGTACAAAACAAATGACAAGATCATGGCTATTTAAGAAGATTATATCTTACCCAAAATAGTTTTCTGGGTCTTCGGTAAAATATAACAGCCCAGAAAATAGGAGCTCAATTGATAAAAAAAATGTACTTCAGGGTAGGCCTATGGCATCTTCAGTGCCTGCTTCAGTTGTGCAAAAGCTGCAGGATGCACACTACTCATGGCTGAATTAAATGACTCCCCATGAATGGCAGCACATGTTTGAAGATTTTCTCGCACCGAGTTTTCCAATGACAATTGGTTGATAGGATCTGAGAGCTTGATCTGAATGTTGGCAAAACCAATCCATCATAAATAATTAACTAAACAGATATACAATTTTGTCAATGGTTGGTTGTCCCTTGTTCCCATATATAATGTGGTAAGGGGAGGTAAGATAGTAGGCTGCCCCCAACACCAGGTTGAGAGCAGCTTCCGTAGAAGACCTCCGAATTATGAGTCAATGATTTAACTAAAGAATGTTAACCTGTCTTCTCCTTAACTCCTTACTGGGAAGTGAACCTTCACCGTGCATCCTGCTGGAGCTCATGGTATCGCCACTGCAATTTATTAGCAAAAATTAAAAACGAAGATGGTTATGAATCTCTGATGTAAATCTCCACCAAACAGAGTTTACAATACAATGGCGTTCAGTGTATAACCTTGACACTTCCTCAGTTAAGTCATCAGTCCCTCCCAAAATTACACTGGTGCAGACACTGCATAAAGTTTATCATCGCAGAAATGAATAAAAATGTTATCCAATGCTCAGTTGCAGATGTACATAAAAATCAAGATTGATCTTGTACCTTAATATCTGATCAAGTTTGTCCAGAATTTGAGGCAGCCTTAATGTCAAAGCGATGGAAAGTGCTAGGCCAAATATTTTCTTCTGGGGTGAAGATACATTGTCTACCTGTATAAACACGCAAAGATAAAGGAAAAAAAATTAACTTGAAGAAGCCTGCCAGACCAACTCAAGTTACAAAATTCAGAATCCTAATAATAAAAGATTACGTTTTTTTTCTTTTAATTTCTTCGATTCTTCCCGAGATGAGACATTGATGCGAGCAGCTAAGAACACTAACCAACTAACCATCATTGTTTACTTTGTATAGATGCATTTTCTACTAACCTTGTCAAGCCATATGTCAACCAGACAAAGAAGAATATTATCTTCAATAGCCATACCAGTCTGCTGCAATAGTGAAGAAAGAGAAGGTTCTGATGTTAGTTGTGCAAGATAGTTGGCATTCATCACCAAAATCCTTGCTAGGATGGCAGTTGTGGATGCCTTAACAGCTGTCTTAGAAGGATTGCCATCGTCTCCTCCACTCAAGCAAATAACAACTAATTTCTGCCAATGTTTAACAAGGCAGAGCAATAATTAGATGTCATGCAAATGCATATAGCACAGCAAATATAATTGTGAACGTGAATGATAAAAAAAATCAGTGGTTAAAGAACCATGCTTACTTGTAAAGTACTGCTGATTAATGGCGGCACTTCCATGGGGTAGCACTACAAAATAGCAAAAATATGAACAGTTACAACTGATTGAGTTTCTCAGGTCCAATTCAGTTTTAATGATTTCAAACCTCCACGCTCATCAGTGAACAATTCTATCATCTGACCAAAGAATTCATTTGCTCTTTTTAGCAATTCAAGGAAGTCATCTATTCATTAACTTTTAGCAACATAAGGAATGCAAAGTCCAGTCGTAAATACTCATTTCATAGACAAACTAAACCACCCCAACTTCTCATGTTATTTTTTAAGGGTAAACTATATGTTTAGTACCTAAACTATCAATTTTGATCCGTTTTAGTACCTAAACTTCCAATTTTTCCAAAAACATACCTAACTTTTAGTTTTTGTTTCATTTTAGTACCCCGCCGTTAAAATTTTAACGCATTTAGTACCTAAACTATTAATTTTGGTCTATTTTAGTATCTAAACTTTCAAATTTTTTCAAAACTTAACATTAAGTTTTTAACAGGGTACTAAAATGAAACAAAAATTAAACATTAGATATGGTTTTGAAAAATATAAAAGTTTAAGTACTAAAATGGACCAAAACTGATAGTTGAGGTACTAAACACGTAGTTTACCCTTTTTTTTAAAGGTAACTTCTCATGTTATCATTCAACATGTTCTTGACAACAGCTGCTAGTATACTCGAGTAAGACTCCTTTTTTCCAGAACCCTACACTATAGTTGTATCATATATGTCGAAAATGTTCCCTTAAAGCAAAACTGATAAAGAAACAAGTGGGATTCTTTTTAAAATATGCACGTATGAGCATGCATCTGCTGGTAAAATGTCCACTGCCTGTAACAATAGAGTCGAGATGGAAGTAGGTGTTTAACATCAAAGGTTTCGCATTATGGGATGTAATAGTTTGAATGCATGACAGGAAGTAGGACAGTCAAAACATGATATTCCCAAGACAAGTATACAATGACAACCTTGTATAAGGAAACAAAGGCTGCAAGCATACATACACAAAGGTGTGCTCGTGGTCTTGTTTGCAATCATTATTAAAACTTTTCCATTGATATCATGTGTGTGTGAGGGGGTGGGGGAGTGGATCAATACACATAAACTGCTACTGGCTTCTTCAAAATTCAGCATATGTTATGTGATGCTACTGTCTTAAAAATTTAGAATATGATACCTGTATAAGAATGTCAATGACAGGAAAAGTTGAAAGCAACCCTCTATCATTGACGTTTCCAACAATGAGATCTAGAAGTTTAGCCACGCTGGAAGCATGCATGCTAAGAAATTCTCTTCCACCCAAAATGATATAACCTTCAGTAATGTCAACAGCAACCTATAAGCATATTCAGATCAATATAAGATCGAGAGAGAGATTAATGAGTGGATGAGAAGCAGACAATGACTTACGATACTGTAAAAGCCTAAAGCACCATATGCGACAGTAAACAATCCAAAGGGGGAATGAGAACTCTTACCTAACAAGGACAAATGAATTAAGAAGTCTAACCTGTAACTGGTCAAAATTTCTTTCCAGTATTTCCACGAGACATGGGAAATATGCTAAGAGTTGAGGCACCATTGCAGGTGCATGAGAAAGTGTAGCCTCCCACAACTGCAGAGATGAGAACATGAAGCATAAGTATATGGTAAATGAAGCCAGATATATAATCAATGTTTGGGGCAGTAGTCTAACCAGCATGCTATCCTCCAGAAGATTGAGTTCATCTGGGCCATTTATATCAATCCCCTTCTGAAGAATGGGCAGGAGCATTGCATAGCAACTAGGTGACTGATATCCAAGTGCACCAACAAAGTTCCGCAAAGCAATAAGAAGCTGTATCTGTAGAAGGCTTTCACCAGAAGATTCCTCCCAAACCTTTTCATATGGAAAGGCTAAAGCAAATTAAAAGAAAATATATTTTAAAAGAGAACCTGATAAGTACAGTCTATATCATGTGTAATCAAGTTAAATAATCCATTTACTCTCAAACTTTGGTCTTTGCTTGGGATTCCAATAATAATTTATTTTTCAAACAACTACTATTAATCATGAATGGCAGGAAAATTTGCACCAAGTTTAACAGGAATTTGTAACATTGGCAATTATCTGATTTAGTAAAAAGGTTCCCTGTCATAAAATCCTAGTACTTATATTGTCAACAACCGAGCATATGAAACTTTCAGAGAAGAAAGTAAAGTAGTGGCAACAATACCGTCTGGAAAAACTGCATCAAGTTGTTAGCATAAGGGATTACTTCGTTGACATGGCCCAGAAGAACAGAAATCAAATTTAAAACCTGGACCTGAAATTTATGTGAAAAGCAGCAAAATGTGAATTAAATGTCAGGATACACAGTTGCATATACAAGTGCATGCACGCTTGTAAACACGAACAAAGACTCAGAAATTAATCTAGGACTCCCTATACAAGAATATGCATCTCATATCTGAGAACCTATATTTTACTAAACAAATCATGACAAATATGATCTAAAGTCGGAACAGGCAAAGCACATCAGTACAAAAAGGTTATCCACACCTATTCAACATTATGATCAGATGCCAAACATGCATGAAAGGAATATTAAAGCTCTGAGCACAGATTCCAGAAATTTTCCACAATCCAGTTAGATATATAAATTTCCTTTTCGATAAGAATGAAAGGAAAAAGAATGCCTAAGTAGGTAGTGAACATCAACAACAACCAACAACAGAATTACCTTCGAATCAAACTCTTGAACTTCTTTGACCAAATTAAAACATGAAACCCAGCAAACAGGAAGTAGATCAGAAAAATCCTTCTCTGAAAAGTTTGCATCTTCAATATGAAAACACAATGATCTGCAGGCAGCTAGCTAAACCAACAAAACACAACATAGTGAGCGAAGTACATAATCTTCATAAATAGATTATTCTGAAGGGGTAGAGAAAGCAGGGAAACATGATGAAAAAGGAAAAGCAAAGTGATAGAACATACCCTCACAGATAGGTCTTTGCCCTGTAACAACTGTATCAAGGCACAGTATACAGGTCTTTTTGTGTCGTCCTTAATCTGCAGGGACGCAAACATCAGTAAAAAATCATTATGACTAATTTCATACTGCAACCAAAGTAGAAATTGAAGAGGAATAACAAATGCATATACAGTATTATATCGACAATTCGAAATTACAAATTCTAGATTTAAACAGCACCATTCTTCTACTATAAAACATGAAACAGATTCCTCATTTCTTGATATAAATTTATGAAAAAAATCAATCATCCAATGCGTCAGATCAGAGCCTATTCCTAGTGGCATTTATCCAAACTCTGCTGTTGATTTGTGTACTCTATATTCTAGTGTTGAACAGGATCAAGTGACAAAAGGTTTTAGAGTTACGGCTTGTCGAAAATCACTAGTCTCTTATCAGAGGGAAACAAAATTCAAGGCTCAATTAGAAATCTACCAGGTCAGATATGAAAAGGTTTAGCAACCATCATATCGTGGTAGCTAAATATAGATTGTACAAGCTTCTGACCTGAAAATTGTTGATCACTATTAAGCTATACTGATGAATGCCTCAACATATTGCTGTGGCATGCATGCATACAAACAAATACATATAACAGAAAGAATGCTTGGACAAGATATAGATAAGACCAGTAGAATATTATACTACCTCAGAAACCCATTGGCCTAATATTAGTGCAACTTTCCGGTGGATGATACGCATATTAGGATGATCGTTAGAAAGTTCAAGAGATAAAGCACCATTAAACCTGTAATGCAGGATTATGTCAGGAAAAAAGGAAAGATATTTCATCATTGCTACAGGAAATGAGAATATGATACCGGTTTATTTATTCACAACGCGATTAGAGCAATTCTTTAACAACTTAAATGAACCAAGGGGTAATTGTTAGAAAGGAAGGAATTACACAATGTTCCTACTTTGCTTGGCTTATTATCTGACAAAAATCATAAAATACAGAATAGTGGAAAAACCAAAGACTCCTGTAATGCCAAACCTTGAAATATAAGTTTAGAATGCAAAGGCTTATTATTTTGTCTTGGAACGTTAGGGGGTTGGGTAAAAAAGAAAAGCAGAGAGCTGTTCAGAAATTAGTCTCTGAGAAAAAACCATCTTTTCTTTTTCTTCAAGAAACAAAACTTGAGAGTTTACCATTCGCTTTTTTAAGGAGTGGATTGAATAAGTTGCAAGGTTTTGTTGTGTCTCCAGCTGAAGGTTCTTCAGGAGGTATTTTTAGTTGTTGGGATAAGACTGTTTTTGTGTTAGAAGAGCATCATATTCATAAGAGGTTTGGGAAATTTAAGTCCAGTCAACTTAAATGTGGGTTTATAAACGTCTATGGTCCTTCTGTGGAAGAAGAGAAGGCAGGATTTTTTGAAGAACTGGGACTGTTCATTAATGGTTCCAATGTCCCTTTGTGTGTGGGAGGAGATTTCAATGCCTACTTAACAGAGAATGAGAAGGATGGTATGGCTCAAAATAGGAATTCGATGGAAATTTTTAGGCTCTTTATTCAGCAAACGGGACTTATTGATTTGCCTTTAATAGGGGGGAAATTTACATGGAGCAGCAATCGGGATGTTCCAACTGTTGTTAAACTAGATAGGTTCCTGATTAATGTCAGTTTCTCAGAAGAATTTCACTGTATCAACCAATTTTTACTGCCAAAGTCTATCTCGGATCATAATGCTATTGTTCTTGAGAGTGGGGAAAATAATTGGGGGAAGATGCCTTTTAGATTGTTCAATTATTTAATGTCTGAGGATGGTTTTGAAGAGAAGGTTGTTGAGTCTATTAAGGAGTTCAAGGAGGAGAAGAAAAAAGCTGGAATTTTAAGCATTCTAAGGAATACAAAGTCAGTCATTAAGAGCTAGTCTGGGGAAAGGAAACAGTTTCCACTGCAGGATATTGCTGCTCTGGAAGATAAAATTCAACAGTTTGAATTAAGTTTGCAGCAAAATCAGAGGGCCATTGTAGATGACAATGCGGCAGAGTTGAGGAAAATGAGAAATGAACTGTGGAGACTGTTGAGTTAATCGATTGACTGAATCGGCCAAGAGGGGGGTGAATTGGCAATAAAAATTTTTGGTGGAAGCTTTTGCAGAAAATTGAAAGAAATTGCACAATGATTTAGAGTGGTTCGACTTTATCAACCAAAGTCTACGTCCACTACCTTAGCTATCCACACTAAGGATTTTCCAACAAATTCACTAATTTGTTCTTTCTTTTGAGGTCAAAGAGATAACCTTACAACTCCCTCAAGAATATATCCCAATTCTTGAGAACACTCTTTTCTCAAAGAGAAATACAAATTTGCAAACTTACAAGAAAAAACCTCACAAGGCAAATATGTTTGCACAATTCTAGAACAAAGAAAGAATACTCAAGAATAAATACAATTGAGCACAATAAGTGTTCTTGAAAGCAAAATGAATATTGAATGAAAAATAGGCTTGAAATGCTCAAACTTGAGGTTTGATGCTTTCTCTTTGATTCTCCCTTGATTCTAATTACTTGATGTTTCTTGTTATTGATCAATGGCTTCTAAGCTTGCTTAAATACACCTTGAATCACTTCTGAACGTTGGGGATGATTAGAGAAAATAATATAGTCTTTTTAGTGTGAAAACAATTAATAAAACAGTTTGGAGCGTGGGGGAATCGGTACCCCCCTATGGGGAATCGGTTCCCTAAGTGTAAAATTCAAATATTTCGACCGTTATACAAGGGGGGAATCGATACCCCTGAGGGGAATCGGTTCCCTCCGAGCATTCTGGATTTCTCGGAGCCAAACCATTCAGGGGGGAATCGGTACCCCCTTGGGGGGGAATCGGTTTCTTCTGAGCAATCTGGAATTTTTGGTTTTGAAATGGTTCGAAATACTTTGTAAAATTATTTTGAAATTGTTTTAAGATTAAAACTTAATTTTACACTTGAGTAAGGATTAAAAATGATCTTTGAAAGATTTGGAGTAATGTTTTAATATTCGAATAATTCTATCGAATATACTTAGAAAATCATTTGGAAAATCTTAAAATTCATTTAACTTAATTTGTTATATCGAAATATCAAAATGTTTTCAACAATCTCCCCCTTTTTGATGTAACAAAACATTTTAGTAATTTTTAAGATTTTGAGATTTTGAAATTAAGTTTTGAAATTACTCCCCTTTATTTTAACACTTCTCCCATTTTTTGAAATTACTCCCCCTTACTTTAACACTTCTCCCATTTATCACATTTAACACTTCTCTCCCTTTTTGTTAAATCAAAAAGACCTTTTAAAGAATTAAACAAGGTTCTAAAATCATTTAGCCAATTGATTATATTTTAAGCTGCTAAGATCACAAGCAAGAGAAACGTTAGCCATTAGTTTCATAATCAATATTCATATTTAATGTGAAATGGCAAAATTGATCATATATCTAATCATGAAGTAAATGATGCAATAATGAATAAATTTAATCACACCAAATAGATAATTTCTAACCATTCATAAATCCAAACAAATTCAAAGTCAATCAATCTACAAATTCAAACATTCCAAGATATTCAAAATGTTAAAACAATAAGTTTAGAGTTCAAAGCAAAACATAGAATCACATATCAGGATTAGGAGGAAAACGAGCTCGCATAGCGGCCATTTCGTGAGTGAGGTCATTAATACGCGCGTTGGTTGCTTCATTGTTTGCACGCATCTCCCGAAGAATTTCTAATTGTTGAGCTCCCATTGTGGATAAATGGGATTCTATAGAAGTAAAGCGCGAATCCATGGTAGCATATCGGAAATCGAATGTCTCCATAAAGGATTGAAAATATGGAGGCATTTGATGCGTTTGTTGTGCTTGCTCCTCGGGCTGCTCAGGCTCATCTTCGGCTTCATCGATGTTTCGCATTAATTGCTCAAGCTCGAGATCTTCGTCAGCTTCGGGTGGAGCTTGTGAAGAACTAGCTCACGGAGTATTTGCAGAAGATCGAACCCATTCACCGGTTTTCTTATCCTTAATCCATCCCGCTCTCGTTAAGGAAAGAAGGTTAATTTGTTTCTTAAGGGAAAAAACGGCATCTAGACCGACTCTAAGCCCAGCTTTGGAAAACAGATTACTGAAAATGCAACCGTAAACAAGAGATGAACAGAGTTTCTTGTTAGGAACAAGATTTACGGTTTCAACAATTTCAGCAAAAATAATCTGAAGTATGTTAATTTTAATATTGTTTTCGAAACAATAAAACCACCAAAGATCTAAGGTTCTAAGAATAGAATAACGACCTCCGGATGGTCGAAACCACCAAGAAATCATTAGATGAAAAAAACGTTCATGAAGGTCTAAGACACTTGCACTATCTCTTCTTTTATAACGAGATCCTAAAACCTGTTTTTCATTTGAAATACCATCATTATCTAATCCGAATATATTGGCTATGTAAGCCGAGTCAATATATAAGAATTGTCCTAGGAGGTAGGAACGAATTCTTATGGTTTCGGTTTCAGTTTGGTTTTTAACACAAACATCATTAGAATAGAAAATACGAACAAGTTGATGGTAAAGATGGGTTCAAGGTCAAAGAGTTTATCAAATTTTCACTCTTGTAAAAGTGGAAGATATTTAAAATTGATAGCTAACATAGCTTGACGATAAGGAATACGTTCTTCCCGGATTTTGTAAGAGTCGAAATATTGATAATACCAAAAACGATAATTTCTAGGACTAAGATGATTGAAATATGAATTTTGGATAGTCAAGTTAGGATCAATGGGATTAGGATTAGAAATTGGAATAGGAGGAGGATTTGGAGGTGGATTTGGTTGACGGTGTAAGCGACTAGATGATGACCTAGCACGTTTAGGATTGGACATGGTTTAGAAAATCGGAATAGAATTGATAACCTGCAATTTAGAAAACACATGTATGCAATTCAATCAATCCCAAAACTCAATTGAGCCCTCAATATTTCAAGGTTCTCTAAATCAATCTTAATGGGCAAAGATTTTGAAAAACTTTTGAAAAATATGGTTTTGAGAAGCAATATATGTATAGTTTTCATAACAACATAATTTAATCAAAACACAATAATTTAAAAATTAATTTTTTTTTAAATTTCGAAAATTTTAAAAAAATTTGGAAAATTCTTGTGTTTTTGATGAAATTGGTTGTAATATCTAGTTTCTAATCACTAAACAATCAATGCCCGATCTAAAGTTCATCCAAGAACTAATTAAAACAAGTCTTATGTTCAAAATCAATAAAATAGGGAGTTTAGAAAATTGTACCTTGAAGGATGAGATTGAGTGGATTTTGATGTTGTTTGCACGATTTTAATGATGATTGCAAGTTTAGGAGATGATATTTGAAGTGAATTCCGATTAAAATCGATGATTTGAGGCAAGAATGGAGATAGGGAGAGAGTTGAGAGGGAACGGCGGAAGAGAAAGGAGAGGATTTTTGAGGATTTTGAAGGGTTCTGCCGTGTATAACCAGAACCCCAGGGGAATCGATACCCCTTCAAAGGGGGAATCGGTTCCTTAAAGGGGGAATCGATTCCCTCTGCACCAAAATGCTAAAATCTTATTTTAAACACCCAAAATGCTAAATTAATTTCCTCTAGTGGTATTGGCAACTCATATATTGAAAATTAATCATGTTCAAACAATTAAATTAATCTTTAAACGATATTTGAACATAAAATTAATTTTTCATCAAGAATCATAAACTCCTCCTAACTAATATCAATGAATGCAATCAAAAATT